GACTGTATACATTTCTAGCAGACTATGTACTGGAGTTTTTCTTTTATCATATTTTACTATTTTACTTGTCTAGCAGAAATAGGCCTACTGCTAGACTCTTGATGTTGCTATAGATTACCTAGGCCTACTTAACAGACATCCATTCCTCTTTAGAAAAGTAAGAAAAGAGAATAAATTCCAATAAATAGATGTAATTTTGTTATATTAAATTATATTTATATTTTAGGCCTAGGCCTAATAATTTGGTAATCTATCGTTTTGGGTACGTAAAATCGCCCGCGATTTGTAATGTGAAAAACAGGTGACTCCTTAAATTTTAATAATTATTTCACATTTTGAGGAGGATTTATGTTTTAAAAAATTCAAAAATGTTTCCTTGATTCATTTATGTACCTGTTTTTAAACAATTGAATTAAAACTTTTCCGTAATAAATGAAGACTAGCGATGTTTCCAACAGATGCAACCATGCTCATTTACTATAGCAGCCATTTTGTCCAAGTTTTATATTTATAAGCTTTTAGCGCCAGATTCAGGGGGAAGCCACTCTATTTTACAAATGGCTGCTGTTTATATAGCAAATCTTGCTGTCAGACACTGCTGTTTAAAGTTAATTTCTGGCCTATATCGATATATTTAGCCATTGATTTAGGTTTATTATTCATTTATCTATAATATTTGACACAAACGTATCACAATATACTTCTATTAAAGCCTTGACAATGAGGTAACGTTTTCGTACATAAATAGCCGCGGGCGATTTTACGTACCCAAAACGATAGATTACCAATAATTTAATTAGATCTATAATAATTTATTATAAACTTAAAAATAGGCCTTCTATATTTGTAATAATTAATATATTATTTCTATTTGATAATAAAATAGACCTAATAAAACTATTTTTATTTCAGGTCAGAATGTTAGTTTAAAATAATTTAGATAGGCCTAGTATAATTTATAATAATGTAATACATTTTCCATAAATAGAAAATTTAATAAGAAGGCAAACTAAATAAAGCGGAAGTGATCTCCCCTAAACTTTTTCGACGATTCTTAAAAGACACTACAGGGGTTGGCAACTGGGGATATAGACATGCTTTTTAATCAATTTTTACATGCATAAACTTTTTTAATATAGAACAGAATCTTGTAGAAAAAAGAATAGCGCTCCAACTTAACTGCAAACAACACGTGTATAATAGTGGGGAACATTAGTACTTTATAAATGCCTATACAATGTAAAAAAACTACCTTCGCTGACCGGAAACTCCTCAAAATTTGACAGAAAACTTATTTGTGAAATTTCAACTATCTATCTGAAGCAGTGCTTAAGTCGCTTTTGAAAAATTGAAAGTAGAATAAGTTCCACTTATAAATTGCTGAAAAGTTGATACAGAACTACAAATTTGATGTAATACAAATATGAAATTTCATCAACCTAGCTGTAACAGTTCTCAAGTTATTGTATTCGCAAACACATAGACATCCCCACACACACAACAAACAGACATGATTACAAAATTATGTTTTTCCGACTCAGGGAGGTCTAAAAGGTCGATATTTGTGAAAATCTCAATTTCAATTTTTTGCACGATTACATTTACAATACTTCCTCTATACTCCGTATATGAGAAAATAAAAACTAATGAATTGAAATGATGAATATGAGACATTGCATCATATTAATTTGAGATAAATATTATATTGTTTTTCTAGTTTGTAATTCGTTTTTATATAGGGCCTAATTAAATATAGGCCTATCTATTTATATTTTATAAGACTTATATTAGGGGTCATCAATAAAGAAAAACACAAATTTTTTTGATGATTTTGAACCTCCCTATCCCCTTGTCACACATCCCCTCACTCTTAAAATTACATCAAACCTCAGCCTACAACCTCCTTGGTGGGGGCTTATTTCCCCCCCCCCCCCCTCGCCGAACGAAATGGAATTTATATAGAAAACATATTCCTTTAACTAGTGTCTGCCCTCCCCCCCCCCCCCCCCCGGAAAATGTTGCTGTCCTTTCTTCCCCCCCCCCCCCCCCCCCCCCACTGATTCTTTTATTTTTTGAACATCATTTTTTTTTGTTGCTAAAATATTGACTGAACTCTGAACTTAAGAGTATTTTAATCAGTTTTTATCACAGCACAGAATGTAAAAACAGTTTTCTAAAAAGCAAAATAGCAGCTAAAATTCAGTTTCCAAAATTATTTTTTTAGAATGCAAAAATGTGATGTCACTCTATCTGGACCCATTCTCCCGCTCATCACAGATCACAAAATTTGGAACTCACAATATTAAGATACTTTGGCCTTTAGAAAAAAATTAGACTTAACATAATCTATATATATAATTCTCTTCTTCGAGCTGTTAGAAAACAAGCTGCAAACGCTCTCCCTACCTCCCCACCCCTACATGGTTTTAGTGAGCTGTGTTCACTCTAAATGTTTACAAGCAGAGCCAACGATTTTAAACGTAGGGGGGGGGGGGGGGAGGGGGGGGGGAAGGAAGGGGGGGGGGGGGTTATGGTCCTTAACGAGCTACTTATAGTGTTTTAAAGAAATATTTTCAGTGTCAGCGTTGGTACTGTCGAATTCACAAATTATGAATTATTGAAAATTAGAAACAACTAAATAGCGGCGTATGTTATGCCGGGGGGCCGGCTCGTTCTAATAATTTTAATTGTTTATTTAAATTTATAATGCAGATTTAATTAAATGTTATACAATTTAAAAAAAATAATCAGCATTAATTCTGAAGAAAAATTTAAAGCTGCTGTTTTATTAAATCACATCTCCCTTGTAGGCTACTAATGTTAAGTTAAACTTTAATGTCATTATTACTTTTGCACCTATTAATTTCCTTATCTTTAGTATATGTATGGGCTTACTATATAGTTACCCTTGCAACGTCGTGGTTCATGAACTAGAGCTCAACTGTTTATGTGACCTCGGTTTATAAATGGATAATGTGGTCAGCACTATGCCCAGTGGTTTTTTTCTTTCCCTGATGTAATTCAGGTACCCATAAAAGCTGGGTGACCCTGGAAGATCCTGCGGGCTTGAGACAGCTGTAGTTTGTACAGTATGATGGCTTATGAAGACCACTTGAAAGTTAGCGAAAGCAGGGCTACTAGTATCTAATCACAAAATTAATTTTCTGTGCCCTACATTTTTACTTAGCACTACATTTCCACCAAAGCATAAGTAAAGTATTTTACAACAGGCAGTTGAACAGTTTGATTCTGTGTTGCTGACAGTGGCGTAGCGAGGTCGGGTGTCACCTGGTGCGGCACTTAATGGTGTCACCCCCCCCCCCCCCCAGAGGCGTTGCGACCCTTCCCGGGGACAAACTTTCAAGTTTTCGATTTGCACCCCCTTTGCACCCCCCCTCAAACTTTTGATTTGCACCCCACCCCTCAAACTTTCGATTTGCACACCCCCCCCCCCTCAAGTTTTTCTCTATATATTTTGCTATTTTTTGCCTTGGTGTCACCCCCCCCCCTAAATGGTGTCACCCTATGCGGTCCGCACCCCCCCCCCACCCCCCCTCGCTACGCCCCTGGTTGCTGATATCTTACTAAACCTAGCCATTACCTAAGCTCTATTACAACCCAAACACTAATGATTGAAAATGATTATTTCTTTGTAGGCCTAATTGGTTGTTTTTTTTTTCATTTTTCTTTAATAGAATCCTTATGCTTATTGTTGAAACAAATACATCTTGAATGTATTTAAAAAATAATATTTCCAGTATTTAATTTAGTATTACACTGCATTTTGAGCTGGTACAGTGCACTGCATTAAAGTTTATTTTAGCGTATATATGAGAATTTTGTTCTCTTGTGTTGTGGAGAATTAAAAAATACATTGAGCAAAATCTTGGCCAGAATGTTTTTGGAAGGTACTAGAACTCTGGCCTACTATTCTGAATCAGGTCTATATTGAGGAGACCAAGTTTTGTTTAGTTTGGTGTTATCCCTATCTTTAGATTTGAACAAATTCAACATAGGGGGGGAAGGTGCGGGGGTGTCACTTTTTTTTTTTGGCTGTTAAATGAGTTTCTGTAATCAGGTTAGTAAAACTACATTTGTGACTAGCAGTGGCAAGCAGCTTATAGAATTTGCATTTCAGAATGTGGTTTCTTTAAAAGTCATCACATGCATTGTTGTCATCTTAACAGAAATTACTACCAAAGTTTTGTGACTGATTGCTTTTAATATTAAAATTATTTTAAAATAATAAAACAAAATTTTGAAATCTCAAACAACAGTGTATTGCATAGGCGTAGCGACCCTTCCCGGCGCCCGGGGACAAACTTTTCGATTTGCACCCCCCCCCCTCAAACTTTCAATTTGCGCCCCCCCCCTTGAGATTCCGATTTGCACCCCCCTCAAACTTTTGATTTGCACCCCCCTCAACCTTTCAATTTATTTTTCCAACCCATTTTGGCGCCCCCTAAAGTCGGCGCCCGGGGACATATGTCCCCCCTCGCTACGCTACTGGTGTATTGTTCTTATTAACTTCAAATGCCACCTGTTTTTTAATTCTAGAATTGACCTAATAATTAGATAAAATGTTTATATCTGTTTTTTTAAACAGATGTATTAAGAGATATATGGAGCTATGGCTATATCTAATAATGTAAATTATGAATGCCCTATGTTGAACAAAATTTTACAAAATTGTAGTTGGATTGCTTTAAATTTAGTGCCATTTAGTCAAAGATTCTTGTTTGAAAGCTATTGGTTTTCATATAAATAATATTAGTATATCCCTGATTTGTTTTTTAAAAGTAAAAGTGTGATGAATATTATATTTAATTAGTATGAAATTCATAATCTATTTTTGGATATTCTTTTTATAAAACTTGTTTACTTTATAAATTCATTGAAGTTTGAATCCAAAAGCTAAAATTTTTCTTTAAAAATATTGTTCTTATTCCCATTTTGATTGACACCGCTATATTTCTAATAATTCTTTGTTTTCTTTTCAGTGAAAAAAGCACAACTTATTGGCAATGAAGGTATGTATTTACTTAGTTTATGTTAAATGAATTACTTACTCTGTTTCCAGTATTTTAGGAAAGATGTTTTATTTCTTAAGAAATTCTTATTCTAGTCCCTTAGTTTTTTTTACTTCTACTTTCTCCATATATTTTTGTTCTTTAAAATCCTGTTACTTTCTCTTAATTAAAAAAAAAATTTAACTGTACTATCTTCAAATGTCTTTGTTTTGTTGAAGCTTATCTTCTATTTCCTCCTGAGGCATTTATATTACCTATTAAGAATGGTTACAAATAACCAAATCTTGTTTCTAATAGAGGTTCTTGATATATATTTCATTATTAAAATTATAACAAATGATCACTATATTAATACCAAGACCTTATTTTTTCAAAATAATAAACACACAAAAAAATAACTGTTGATGAGATTTTGAGCATTGTCCTACAATATTCTTTGTAAGATTATGTAAATAAAAAGCATAAAGACAAAACTAAAAAAATTGAGTTGTTAAAGGATTGTTAAACTAACTGTTAACCGATTCCATACACATATAAAGCGGTCCTTATTTGTTTTACTCTGGAGTCCGAATCAGAAGCCAAAGCTTTCTGTCTGACCTGCTGTTATTGTACTGGAGCAGAGAGTCCCAGTCAGATGCACTAGAGCAGAGAGTCCCAGTCAGAAGCCAAAGCTTTCTGACCTGCTGTTATTGCACTAGAGTCTAGAGCAGAGAGTCCCAGTCAGAAGCCAAAGCTTTCTGTCCTGTTGTTATTACACTAGAGTCCCAGTCAGAAGCCAAAGCTTTCTGTCTGACCTGCTGTTATTGCACTAGAGCAGAGAGTCCCAGTCAGAAGTCAAAGCTTTCTGACCTGCTGTTATTGCAGAGAGTCCCAGTCAGAAGCCAAAGCTTTCTGTCTGACCTGCTGTTATTGTACTGGAGTCCCATTCAGAAGCCAAAGCTTTCTGACCTGCTGTTATTGCACTAGAGCAGAGAGTCCCAGTCAGAAGCCAAAGCTTTCTGACCTGCTGTTATTGCACTAGAGCAGAGAGTCCCAGTCAGAAGACAAAGTTTTCTGTCTGACCTGCTGTTATTGCACTGGAGTCCCAGTCAGAAGCCAAAGCTTTCTGTCCTGTTGTTATTGCACTAGAGTCCCAGTCAGAAGCCAAAGCTTTCTGTCTGACCTGCTGTTATTGCACTAGAGCAGAGAGTCCCAGTCAGAAGCCAAAGCTTTCTGTCCTGCTGTTATTGTACTGGAGTCCCATTCAGAAGCCAAAGCTTTCTGACCTGCTGTTATTGCACTGGAGCAGAGAGACCCAGTCAGAAGCCAAAGCTTTCTGTCCTGCTGTTATTGCTGAGAGTCCCAGTCAGAAGTCAAAGCTTTCTGACCTGCTGTTATTGCAGAGAGTCCCAGTCAGAAGCCAAAGCTTTCTGACCTGCTGTTATTGCACTAGAGCAGAGAGTCCCAGTCAGAAGCCAAAGCTTTCTGCCCTGCTGTTATTGTACTGGAGTCCCAGTCAGAAGCCAAAGCTTTCTGTCCTGCTGTTATTGTACTGGAGTCCCATTCAGAAGCCAAAGCTTTCTGTCTGACCTGCTGTTATTGCACTGGAGTCCCAGTCAGAAGCCAAAGCTTTCTGACCTGCTGTTATTGCACTGGAGTCCCAGTCAGAAGTCAAAGCTTTCTGTCCTGCTGTTATTGTACTAGAGCAGAGAGTCCCAGTCAGAAGCCAAAGCTTTCTGTCCTGCTGTTATTGCTGAGAGTCCCATTCAGAAGCCAAAGCTTTCTGTCTGACCTGCTGTTATTGCACTGGAGTCCCAGTCAGAAGCCAAAGCTTTCTGACCTGCTGTTATTGCACTGGAGTCCCAGTCAGAAGCCAAAGCTTTCTGTCCTGCTGTTGTTGCACTAGAGCAGAGAGTCCCAGTCAGAAGCCAAAGCTTTCTGTCCTGCTGTTGTTGCACTAGAGCAGAGAGTCCCAGTCAGAAGCCAAAGCTTTCTGTCCTGTTGTTATTGCACTAGAGTCTAGAGCAGAGAGTCCCAGTCAGAAGCCAAAGCTTTCTGTCCTGTTGTTATTGCACTAGAGTCCCAGTCAGAAGCCAAAGCTTTCTGTCTGACCTGCTGTTATTGCACTAGAGCAGAGAGTCCCAGTCAGAAGTCAAAGCTTTCTGACCTGCTGTTATTGCACTAGAGTCTAGAGCAGAGAGTCCCAGTCAGAAGCCAAAGCTTTCTGTCCTGTTGTTATTGCACTAGAGTCTAGAGCAGAGAGTCCCAGTCAGAAGCCAAAGCTTTCTGTCCTGTTGTTATTGCACTAGAGTCCCAGTCAGAAGCCAAAGCTTTCTGTCTGACCTGCTGTTATTGCACTAGAGCAGAGAGTCCCAGTCAGAAGTCAAAGCTTTCTGACCTGCTGTTATTGCAGAGAGTCCCAGTCAGAAGCCAAAGCTTTCTGTCTGACCTGCTGTTATTGCACTAGAGCAGAGAGTCCCAGTCAGAAGCCAAAGCTTTCTGACCTGCTGTTATTGCACTAGAGCAGAGAGTCCCAGTCAGAAGCCAAAGTTTTCTGTCTGACCTGCTGTTATTGCACTGGAGTCCCAGTCAGAAGTCAAAGCTTTCTGTCCTGCTGTTATTGCACTAGAGTCCCAGTCAGAAGCCAAAGCTTTCTGTCCTGTTGTTATTGCACTAGAGTCCCAGTCAGAAGCCAAAGCTTTCTGTCTGACCTGCTGTTATTGCACTAGAGCAGAGAGTCCCAGTCAGAAGCCAAAGCTTTCTGTCCTGCTGTTATTGTACTGGAGTCCCATTCAGAAGCCAAAGCTTTCTGACCTGCTGTTATTGCACTGGAGCAGAGAGACCCAGTCAGAAGCCAAAGCTTTCTGTCCTGCTGTTATTGCTGAGAGTCCCAGTCAGAAGTCAAAGCTTTCTGTCCTGCTGTTATTGCACTAGAGCAGAGAGTCCCATTCAGAAGCCAAAGCTTTCTGTCTGACCTGCTGTTATTGTAGAGAGTCCCAGTCAGAAGTCAAAGCTTTCTGACCTGCTGTTATTGCATTGGAGCAGAGAGTCCCAGTCAGAAGCCAAAGCTTTCTGTCCTGCTGTTATTGCATTGGAGCAGAGAGTCCCAGTCAGAAGCCAAAGCTTTCTGACCTGCTTTTATTGTACTGGAGTCCCAGTCAGAAGCCATAGCTTTCTGACCTGCTGTTATTGCACTGGAGTCCCAGTCAGAAGCCAAAGCTTTCTGTCCTGCTGTTATTGCAGAGAGTCCCAGTCAGAAGCCAAAGTTTTCTGTCTGACCTGCTGTTATTGCACTGGAGTCCCAGTCAGAAGTCAAAGTTTTCTGTCCTGCTGTTATTGCAGAGAGTCCCATTCAGAAGCCAAAGCTTTCTGTCCTGCTGTTATTGTACTGGAGTCCCAGTCAGAAGCCAAAGCTTTCTGTCCTGCTGTTATTGTACTGGAGTCCCATTCAGAAGCCAAAGCTTTCTGTCCTGCTGTTATTGTACTGGAGTCCCAGTCAGAAGCCAAAGCTTTCTGTCCTGCTGTTATTGTACTGGAGTCCCATTCAGAAGCCAAAGCTTTCTGTCCTGCTGTTATTGTACTGGAGCAGAGAGTCCCAGTCAGAAGCCAAAGCTTTCTGTCCTGCTGTTATTGTACTGGAGTCCCAGTCAGAAGCCAAAGCTTTCTGTCCTGCTGTTATTGCACTGGAGCAGTGCCATTTATGGTTACACACAAGGATACACCGCCATCGATCTACGAACAACGGAAACTAAATTATAGATTAATTTGAACAATCAATTTCAGCAATACACCGGCACTAACACATGCTGTACGCGCATTCATTCAGTTGTAGTTTTGGCCCTGGTGGAGGAGGGTGAGACGTCGGTGTAATTGGGACACTCGTGTATTGATTGGTAGCAGCATCCAGCTTGCCACAGGGCAGTCAAGTGATCTCATTATTTATCCATATATAGTCTACCCTTATGCTGCCTTAGAAACCCTCGGATAAGCACATAAATAGGCTACTCGGGTTGTTTTTCTGTGGTTGAAGGGCATGAAATCGCTTAGATTCCCTTTATAAGCGTTTGGCTTTGTAGAAAGAAAACTAGCCTTAATATAATATATGGAAAGAATGAAAAAATTGTGCTGCTATTTTAAAATTGTTGACGTTTTTCTTTATTGCTGGTGGTTGAGATCAAAAGTAATTAAGATTTTCTTTTTTATTTAGCGAGCTCAAAAGTCTTTATAAATTATCTATATACGTAGGTGTGTGTACACTGGTTTTCTTCGATTCTTTCCACATTTTCCCGTTCTTTCATCTTGCCTTCTATTGAATCCAAGATTGCATTCCTTTGTAGCTTTGTCTGTTTTTCTTCATTAAAGAACACACACCATAGCCAGTACGCATGTCTTTACTTGCTAGGGGCATTTAGTACTAGTTTTAATTGGATGTTGTGAGGTTTCTCGCTTGTTTAGGAGTATTGATTTTTTTAATACTTTATTTTTTTTGGTAAAGATTTCGGACACGTTTGAACTTGTACTTATAAATTGTTTAAATTTATCTCCCCTAATTTCCCCTGGATTGTTATCTATCTTCAATCTAATACCTTAATTCCCTTTTATCTTGTAATGCGGCTCTTACGGTGACAGTGTTATGTCGTTACGGTGTTTGTTTGGCACGATGATAGCCTAACTTTTCCTTGTCCATTACCTTCTATGTTCACATAGTTCTAACAAGTGTTGACGTTGCTTCAACCAGTCCATATGGTTTGTACCGCGGACATATCTGAACATAGTAGGGTCCATTTGTCAAAGCGGGTTGTTGGAGGGGTTTAAGCTGCCCATGATATTATTTTACATCCAATGTAGTCGGTTTAGACACACAGACTCCGAGTAATTACAACGCATAAGTACATAGATAATATATGATGTTTATATAGCATGTAAGTTAAAGCAAAATAAGATCTTGCTTTAAAACAGCTACTTAAAATGGAAACTGCAAACACTTTGTTACATGCTGAAGTATAATTACATGTATAGGA